TGTGTTATACAGCGCATTGATAGCCATTAAAGATTATCCGTGCGTCTTCCACAAGGCCTTAGAGGAGTTGGTGTTCTCCAGGGCCTTCTTCAAGTAACTTCACTACTTCAGTCACATCTGTTTCAATTATCACTTTGTGGAAACCTTTTTGAAGGATGATGGTGAGGCCTTTGTATATAGCCCATAGCTCTGCCTCAAGGCTAGTACAAGTCTCAAATTTACCATAGAAACCCATGCTCCTATTTCATCTCTTAATAGGCCTCCAAAACCTCCAGGTCTGGCCATTCGGTAGTAGCCATCAGTGTTCAACTTGAGGGTACTTGAGGGGGGACAAATCCACTTGATTAGCATAAGTGCTGGTCTTGGGTTAGTAACAGACAAAGTGAAAGCTTGGTTAATCTCTCTGGAATAATCTAATATGAACTTAAGGCTCCGTTTGGTAAGCCTCTTAAAATATAATTTTACCCATTGATTTGAGTGTGTTGTTTGTTTGGAGCTTTTAAATCATAATTTTGCACCCATTTCTCAAAACTCAATTCAAAACATAATCATTACTTTTCAAAACTCATAACCAAACACATAATTTAAAACTCAATTCAAATCAATATTTTAATTTTTTAAAATATTTTAATTTTGTTAAGATTTTAAATATTTTAATATTTAAATATGTTACGATTTTTTTAATTTTTTAATTTTTTGAATATTTTTAAATATTTTAATTTCAAAATATTACGATTTTAATTTTTTAAAATTTTAAATATTTTATAAAAATAAATTCAAACTCTATTTTATAAAAATATTTTTAAATATTTTAATTTTTTTTGTTATGTATTTGGTTACGATTTGAGTGTAGAGTTGTGAAAGTAGTATAGAGTTTCAAGTTATGTGTTTGGTTATGAGTTTTAAAAATAATTTATTAATTGAGTTTTATTTTGTGTGTTTGGTTACGATTTGAGTGTAGAGTTGTTTTTAAATTTAAAATATTAACATTTTTTTGAATATTTAAATTATTTAAATTTTTACGATTTAAAATTTTTGAATATTTATTTTAAATTTTTGCTTATTAAATTACTTGTTGAATATTTAAATTTTTACGATTTAGATTTTTTCAATATTTATTTTAATTTTTTACTTATTAAATTTTTTAGATTATTTAAATTATTTAAATATTTATGATTTAAATTTTTTGAATATTTATTTTGAAAAAAATTATTTCCTTTGTAGTATTTTCAATTAAAAAATTGATTAATGTTATTTTCTGTTAATAATAATTTTTTTAATTAAATTTTAAAAAGAGTTTGGCTATGAGTGTTAATCAGAATATTTAATAGTGTGAAAGTAGTGTATTTTGTTATGAGTTATAATAATTTGAATTAAGTTTTGAAAACTCTTTCCAAAACTCATAACCAAACAAATTTTCTTACTTCACATGTCAAATCAAACTTTCAAAACTCAATTCAAAAACTATAACCAAACAAATTTTTTACACTCAAATCATAATTTCACAACTCACAAACTCAAAATACAACTCATACTTTCAAATCATATTTACAAAACTCTACCAAACGCAACCTAAAGCTTTCAAAAATGCTAGAAGTTTTGTTTTCAAAAATTTTTAAATTCCTATTTTTCTAGATTTTTTAGAGAGTGATAGGAAACAAAGTGTACCAAGGGTTATTTTTTCCAAAACTATTTTTCTTTTTTAGATTACATATCAGCCAGCTCTTCCAAGATGAATTTCTCATCTCAAGGCACTAGTTTTTGGAGAAAACTGCCACCCGCACATTCATAGCTTCAGAACAAATTCTAAAAAGGTGATCCAAATCTTTTATCTCATTGCAAAAAAGGCATGATGGGTTTTTAGATAATCCTCTCTCCACCCTCATACAATTGGTCTGAGTTTTACCCTGGAGCAACACCCAGAGGAAACTTTTAATCTTTTGAGGAACTTTACATTTCTAGAGCCATTGCCAGTTTTCTCTTTGCTCAGCATTCTCCATGATCAGATTATAGGCAGTAGATGTTGAGAAACGACCATCCAAAGATCCTTTCCAATGTGGCTGATCAAGGTTAGGATTGTAAAGAAGGGGTTTTTCTTTAAAAATAGATCCAGCCACACTGGTTGGGAAGCTCTGGTGAACAGTGTTCACATCCCAATCCCCTTCCTCATTAAGGAGAGAATTCACCTTAATCAAATCTGAGTCAGCATGTGGTTGGGGAATAAGGGCAGCCAAAGGTTTAATACCACACCACTAGTCACTCCAAAGATTAACATTAGAATTAGCACCAATGAACCATTTAACACCCTTAATCAAGGTGTTTCTGGTTTTAATTATGCTTCTCCACACATGAGAAGTTTTTTTCTTGTCTTCTAGTTGCAAATAGTGGCATTCTTGAGATATTTGGCCTTGAGTACCTCAATCCACAAACTATTCTCATTATTGAGAATTTTCTAACCAAGTTTGGAAAGTAGGGCTATGTTTTGTTCACACGCTTTTTTTAGCCCCATTCCCCAAACTTTTTGCTAATACACACCTCATCCCAATTCACAAGATGGATCTTGTTCTTGTCCACACTGTTTCCCCGGAGGAAGTTAATTTATGCTATCAATATCATTGCAGACCCTCTTAGGAAATGCCATAGTTTGCATAGTGTAAGTAGGAATAGCTGCGGTCACAGATTGAATCAAGGTGGTTTTACCTATCAAAGACAGGACTTTCACTTTCCACCCAACCAACTTGTTTTGGATTTTTTCAAGAATAAAATTGAAATGACTTTGATTAGCTCGTTGGTGTAAGATAGGAACACCCAGACATTTCCCAAGATCAGCAGTTAAAGGTATATGACAAAGGCTGCTCAACTCCCTAGCCTGCCTACTGGCAATGTTAGGTGACACAAAAAGTTTTGATTTTTGAAAATTACTTTGAAGGCCAGAGATAAAGCTAAACTCTTCCATAACTTCAGCAATCAAAACACCATGCTTGGGATCAGCCCTGGCAAACAGGATGAGATCATCAGCATAAAACAAATGTGTAATACAAGGACCACCCTTAGCAAAGTTAATACCCTTCCAGCTTTTTCTATTAGCCAAGTGGCTAATCATGTTTGATAGCCTTTCCATGCAAAGCACAAACAGATAAGGGAATAAAGGGTCCCCTTGTTTGAGGCCCTTCATAGGTCTAAACTACTCTAAAGTTTCGCCATTCCACAAAATAGAAGATTGCACAGTTGTGACGTAACACATGATAAGATCAATCCGTTGGGCATTAAGATTAAACTCCTGCAGAGTTTCTCTTAGAAAATGCTAAGATATTTTGTCATATGCTTTCTTAAGGTCAATTTTCATAACCATATTACTAGTTTTACCTCTCAAGTGACGCATAGTATGAATAGCTTCTTGAATGATGATAATTTTATCACTGGTATTTCTACTAGGGATAAAACTACTTTGATTGGGTCTCACAATATTATCAAAGAATGATTTAAGCCTGTCCACCAAGATCTTAGTAATAACTTTGTAGGTCACATTACAGAGGCTAATAGGTCTAAAATGTTTCACTAATTCAGGGCTATTAACTTTCAGAATAAGAGCAATCAGAGTTCTATTGATCTTCTCTGGGATAGAGTTGTTAGCAAAACACGATTTAACAAAGGAACAAACATCAGTGCCAACAATATCCCAGTACTTATGAAAGAAAATAGCTTGGAAACCATCCCTCCCAGGAGCTTTAAAGGCTTTGATGTTATGCATTGCCTTTTTGATCTCAGGCATCAGTAACGGCTCTAGTCAAGTCTATATTATCCTCTTCAGACAACTTAACAACGACGAGTGGGCAAGAGAGTTAGCTATAGGATTATCAAACAAATTTTCCAAAAAAAGGACTAAATAATATTTATTGAAATATAAAAATATGTTATGAACTAATTAGGATACAAGTACTTCAAAAAATATTTCCTAATAAATTTTCCTTTATTTTTTAACTAATTTTTGAATTTTTGTTAATTTCTTAACTTTTTTCTTTAAAAATAGTGACTCGAAAGATGTATTGATTTGTAACTCAAAATCGTTTAAGGTGTAATAACACATTATGGAAAAATGTAGACCCAACCGTGACCATTAAAAATTAAAATGTCCATCCACAAAATAATGAAAGGTCAGAAAAAAATAAATAGAGATTGCAACAATATTTAATTTTTGTTATATATCTAGAAAATAGAAAAAGTTAGTTATGCATACATTGTAACAATCAAAGGTTTAAATCAATATTTTGAAAATTGGACTGGAGTGACCGGTTGATCAGTATGAATCAATTTTCAAAACCAAATTGGCTTGAAAGTCGGCCTTTGTAAGCTAAATCAGCCAAACCGATTTGCTATGTATGGTCTAATATTGAAAAAATTGATGTTATAAGGAGTTGAACCTAACACTTCAAGTTCCAAAGAGTATGAATTTCTACTATGTCACCATAATTGCTTATCATTATATACGAGATATATAATATTTATTGTATTATTCAATATAATTTATTTCAAACACATGTATAATTAATATTTTTAAAACAATATTAATGTAAAAATATATATAACCATAAAAATTTGCTAAATATGCATCTTAAATTATAAAAATATTTTAAATGAATATATTTTATTTATTTTTAAATTATAAAATAATTACAATATCACAGTTTGATTCCGATTCAACCATCAATAACTTATCCACCTAATCCTTTTTTCGATTCGCTCACATGTCCCGTTCTTAAAACAGAAGTTTAAACAATAATTTTTTAATAAATTCTATCATAAATTAAGCATTCAATATGAAAGGAGCAATGCAAATATTTAATTTTGTTTAGCATGAAGAATGCACATTAATTTGTCTTTTGGATCAGCCCTACCGAAGAAAAGAGAGGAAGATGAAAATTTGTTTACTGCAAATTCTCAACAGTCGGATACTATCACATCCACTTAAAAACAGCTAAAAAATAAATTAGAAGACACTATTAAACCATGAACTGAGAACTAAAATTATTTTTATTCAATATTCTAGATAAGCAAAGATATAGATCAATACAGTTTAACAAACTCAAAAGGATAGTTTTAACACTCCCACAATTCAAATCACTTGATCAAATTAATCAAAGCAAATCGGAAGTAGCTCAGTGTTTGATCCTAGGCTTCTTCACAATCATCACACTGCAATGAGCATGATGAGCACAATAGTCGCTTACACTTCCCAAAACAGCTCTGCAAGAGTTTTTATTGTGTTAGTTTTTTCAATGAAATGGCACTTCAAACAAATTATGTCAAAGTCTGTACATGCACATGATAGAGAATCTGTTGTTTGTCGTGTAAACACATCGCTAAAACTGTTTTTTTTTCTTGTAGTGGTTCATAACACAATTGATGATAGATGACGCAAACTATGCTGGCGGTTTTCTTGATGATGCAGCAACTCGTCATTCAAGAGAAGGAATTATAATTTACAGTATCTCATAATGTTTGTGGGGAATTAAGTTTTAGAGTGCTGCATAATTTTGATCCTCAAGTCAAAACAATATGCTTGTATAAAAAGAAGAGCTTGGATAGTTTACATGATCAATGAATTCCATTAAATTTTTGCAATATCTAAATTTCACTAGTGTGTGTTGGGGATAAGATGGATCCCATACCTTTTTATAGCTCCATAACCATGACTACCCACAACCAATATGGAAGCATGGTGTTTCTCCACAGCCTCACAGAGAACATTCCTAGCATCACCTTCCATAACTTCCAATACCACACCAGTCACCTATACAGAAAAGTAAAAATCAGAAAGAATGTCGGCAATGCAAATTCACAGAAGTGCCGACACTTCAGACTTGACAGCTTGGATTGAATTTCCAAATTGAGGCAATACAATTTTCAACAGAAATATCGAGGAAAGAAAATTGGGTAAGATCCTACTGAATGACAAGATTAAAGGTCCACAAACCTTATTACCCTATATACATTCTTTTGAACAGCAATTAGTTGAAGTGTTCAGGTCGGAAAACTGCCAGGAACATGTGTGCATTATGATTGGCTCTAGGCTCATCAATCCATTTGTACTTCTTGTACCAGTGGAAGTTTTGATTCCACTCATGCAATTGATAGTGAAAAAATAATATGCCAAAATTAAATAGAAAGACAAAATGCAAGGATTTACGTGGTTCACTTATGAAGATGAACACCAACTTCATTCTAATATGGAGATTACAAGTATATGAGATTAAAAACCCACTAAATAAGTATTCAATCCCAAAACCCCCCAAAAAAATCACAAATCAAAATTCTTTAGAATGGAAATATGCTCTTCAAGCACTTGAACCCACTTGGGCGTAGCATTGGAACTGCTATGTAAGCTTTTGTTTACCGAGGGTTTGAATCATGGTTTGGTATCTAGGCAAAACACCATCAAGAACGCATAAAGATCTATAATTCTCAGATAATTAACCATGTAATTCTCTCCATCAGCAACATCTCCCAACGAGGGGAAGGCCCTTCACTCTTGGGCAAACCATAACCTTGGGCAAAATCAAATTCCTACCACTAACCCCTTTTGCTAGACCTCCGTACCAAATTCCTTGTCTACCAGACTACCAAAATACTCCAGAAAAAGAAAACTCACTAAGTTATGAATTATTTGAGACAATTCCAAATGATGCATGTATACATATACTCCCAAAATAGCTTATAGTCAGTATTAGACATTGAACAAGTGCCGCACCATATTTACCAAAAGTACTTTATGTTTCAAAAGCACCGAATCCCATACTAAGTGTCCAAGCCCAATTCTTGGTTTAAATTAGTTTCCTCTCAAAATTAACTCAGGTTGTGTTTGGATATGTGGATTTTGATTTGTCCATGGATTTTAATTCCTTTGTTTGGATCAAAATAATGATAAGGATTTGGAAATAGAAATTCCTAACAGCGGAAGAGAAAAAGAAAAAAGAAAAAATGAAGGAAACACTTCCAAATCAGGGTTCTTCTGATTTATCACCTAATTCAAGAATCATGAAAAGTTAAGATCTGGACAAATTTGAAGAGAATTTCTCAAATATGTGTATGTACATATGTATGTTAATACATTGAACACCTTCTCACATAAGATGAAAGAAAAGAGTTAAACAAATAAACCAACCATAACACAAAAGTTTGCAAGTAAACGGAAAAACTGAGACCGCCAAAGAATTGCCCAACTCGAATTGTTAATTTACCAATCGAACTTCCTCAAAGGAATAATAAAATACAAGTCTACATCAACAAATCAGAATCAAACAAGAACATCCATGAAAGAATAATGCAAGCTCCTCTCACTTATATATTTGATGAGATAATTTTGGGAGGAAATTACAAAAAAGAGAATCAAGCAGATAAAGACCAAACAAAAATGAAAATTTCTAACAAAGTGATGAAAGAATGAAATCCATGGACTGATTTGGCTGGATTTGAAATCCACATGTCATGTGATCAACCGAGTGGGGCGCAAGGATTTCAAGATCAGATTTCAAATCTTACTTCATTTGAAATCCTTAAATTAAAAACAGAGCCTTAAACTATTTAACAAAGATTAAAAATTTACTCACATAATTACTTTAGATAAACATTCATCAATTCATACAGATTCTACAAAATTCTAATCAAATTCAGAACAAAATAACAAAAAAAGTACAAAACAACAAAAATTATCAGAGCAATAGGTTAGAAATTGTAAAATTGTCCAATAATTCAGACCTAGTTGAATAAGAAATAACAACGAATCCAGTTCTTCAGCGAATCGCAAAAATCAACTTAATCAAAAGCAAAAAAGAAAAAAGAAAAAGAGAGAGATAGAATAAGCATACCGACTTACTAAAACAGATCTCCTTTGCTTTTTCGATAACCCTAGCAGCAATCTTCTTCAGATCGGCTTCGACGTAGGGCAAAACATCAGCAGCCCCTGCAATTCAGAAAAAAAAAAAAAAAATGTCAAAAAAATCAATTCAGTACATGATTCTGTATATATAGAGGATTGAATGGAGATTATACCAGGACCAGCGAGTCCGATAGCAGAAGTAGGAGAAGGTTTAGCGTGAACGATGAAGAGGTTGAAGAGAAAGTTTGGAGCGTTAGGAATGAAGAAGTGATCGAGAATCCATTCGAGTGCGTAGATGCTTTGTTCACTGTCGTCGATTCCCACCACCATAACCGGTTTCTCTACTGCTAGTGGTGTTACCGGTGTTGCTGTTGTCGCCATTTTCGACGGTGGGCGTAGAAATTTCTTTCTCTGGACAATAACAGAGAAGAATACAAACAAGCAGGATGTAACGACGGAGAGAGAGAGAGTATAAAGATAATGTGTGCGACTGCCGTAACGGGATTATCTCGGTGGGAGAAATTATACTTTGGTCCTTGGGCAAATCTAGTTAGTGTCCTGATCTGAATATTATTGGTTGAAACACTTGATCTCACTATCTATTTGTCACCATTGGGATATAATTAGACACTTGTCTAAATATGATTAGTGGGATGCAATGTTTTTAAACCACCAAATAACTTCTCACGGTGGACAAATATGACAAGACCCTATTTATCGGTCCATCATGTGTAGAATAACCTGGAAACTGTGCAATGAATAATGTTAGAAATGGCTACATTTTTTAAATAAAAAAATTATTTAATAAAAAAATTAATAAATTGCGTCCTTTTTATTTAGTTATTTTTTAATTTTTTTTTTTCACTTTGAATTTCATGTTTCAAGTTTTTATTAATTTATTTCAAAATTTAATTTATGTTTAAATTAGAAAGAAAATGATACATTAATAATTACATGATATGAATTATTTCATTATATATAACTTGCATATTTTGACACAAACTCACATTTTAATATAGTAATAAATTTTTTTATGTTATATAATAGTTACCGTGTCATTTTTTGTCTGATTTTGAACATAAGTTAGTTTTAATAGTAAATTAAAAAAAAATTAATATGAATAGTTAAAGTGAAAAAAAACAAATTTTAAGAGTTAAAATAAAAAAAAAAAACAAAAAAAAACAATGCTACATACCCCTAAAAAACACAACTATCACAACCCCCTACCTGTGACTGGTCCAAGAATAAAAATAAAAAATAAAAAAAAAACATGATTAGTCCACATCATTTTAGGGGTATGAGATCCCTAACTTTGGGAGTTCCAAATATTTTTGTACAAAAAATAACCAAATACAAAAGGAATAAAATATAATTATTCTTAATAAAAACACAAAATATAGTTAGGATTTAGAATCGGGTACTGTCTTCAAAAATTGATCAAGTGGCAGTTAAAAGTTGATCAAAAGTTTTCTTGTAATGTCTTATTCAATTTTTTATGAGTTACAAATTAGTCCAAAACTCAAAAAAATAAATAAATAAAATAAAATAAAAATAAATAATTTAATAAATTGAGTTATTTTTTCCTTTTTGGCTAACATGAGAAAACAAGAACAAGGAGCGAAGAGGCCCACGATCAGGCACCCACAAAATAGTTGGAATTGTGCAGATCTACATTGGATTTATAAACTCTGGGCCTATGTTCTTTACTTCTTCTCAAGCCAAAACTTATTGGCTTGGTTTGGCATGTCTTAAAGTCACTATCCTATTTAAGTCACATCATCTTATTTAAATCACATCACCTCTCTAACACATCACATCAAACTCAATCCAAACTCAACCCATATAAGTCAATAAATTAAAAAGTGTACTTTTTAGAACATTTCAGACCAACCCTAGAATCCAATGGACTTTTTTTATATTGAGAGTATAAAACGGCCCAATACAAATCAGTATCGTGAATATCATTTTATACAGGGATGGTAAAGGATAACCATTTTTTAAAGATAAAAATAAACTCAATAAATAAATTAACTTACAAGATGTATAAGAAGTCCAAATCTCACTTAAGCCGTGTAAAAGTAGTACGACTATTAAGCCACTTAATTTGTCGTCTAAGTCCCAATAACAAAATGTCGAAATTTTGTTTATTATTAAAAGCTCCAAATTTTCGGAGACTTACTAAGATAAGATCTCATTTGATATTTAACCCAGAATTATAAACATTCGTATGCGAGTGATTAAGAATAAACATTCTTTATAATTTGTCTCTCTATCACATTTCTTGTTTTATGTTCATTTTATATTTTCATGTTAATGAAATTAAAAGCTAAAAAATATGAAATGATTATAATATAAAGAAAGAGTGAGACATATGATTTTATATCGTAATAAACATTCTTATAAAAGTATTTATTCTTATCTCCAGTTTCCACCATTGACCGAAACATTTGCATTTGGAGACAAAACCAAGCCAACCTGGCTTGATATGCATTTGATCCCTTTTCGATCAATTTGATTTTTTATTTTATAAAATAAGCATTAAAAATGACAAATATGGCCCAAGACTTTTCAAACATTTCCTTCTAATGCCACACAAAATGTTGTTAGCTCCAATACAAAGAAAATCAGTGGTGCAATCTAATGGATCTAGTTGAAGACTCAAAACTCCTCATTTGAAAGATGTAATAATTCAAATCAAGCACATTTTTAGAGAGGCCAAATCAATGTGCTAATGCTCTTGCAAACACTTGGATTTGAAGGAAGATCCACCCAATTAGGTGAGGCCATCCATGGTGGGTGACATGGTGGGAATTAATTATGAGAAAGTGTAATTCTAACTCTTTTTGATTTTTTATTGTGTTGTTTTTGTTCGGTCTAAAATATGTATAGAGAGAAAAGATTTCAATATAACATAATGAAAATTAAAATCTCCATCCACAAAATAATGAAAGGTGATAAGAAAAAAATAAATAGAGAATGCAACAATATTTAATTTTTGTCATGTAACTAGAAAAATTTAGATTTAGTTTATGTATAGTATAGATAATTTTATTTCCATTTTCCTTCATAAATTCAAGCAACAATCAAAGGTATAAACAATAATTTATTGATAAATTCCATCATCAATTAAGCATTCAATATGAAAGGAGCAAAACAAATATTTAATTTTGTTTAGCATGAAGAATGCACATTAATTTGTTTTTTGGATCAGCCCTACCGAAGAAAAGAGAGGAAGATGAAAATTTGTTTGCTGCAAATTTTCAACAGTCAGATACTATCACATCCACTTAAAAACAGCTAAAAAATAAATTAGAAGGTCGTATTAGACGAGCTAATAAACTGGTAAAATCATGAACTGAGAACTAAAATTATTTTTATTCAATATTTTAGATAAACAGAGATACAGATTATTACAGTTTAACAAGCTCACAAGATAGTTTAGTTTTAACACTCCCACAATTCAAAGCACTTGATCAGATACACAATGATAGTTCTTGCGGGAAAACTATATTTGTTTACTTAATCAAAGCAAATCGGCCATAGCTCAGTTTTTTATCTTAGGCTTCTTCACAATCATCACACTGCAGTGAGCATGATGAGCACAATAGTCGCTTACACTTCCCAAAAAAGCCCTGCAAGAGAATTTGATTGTGTTAGTTTTCAATGAAATGGCAATTCAAACAAATTATGTCAAAGTCTGTACATGCACATGACAGAGAATCTGTTGTTTGTCATGTAAAACACATCGCTAGAACTGTTTTTTTCTTGTAGTGGTTCATAACACAATTGATGATTGATGAGGCAAACTATGCTGCCTGTTTTCTTGATGATGAAGCAACACATCATTCAAGAGAAGGAATTACGATTTACATTATCTCCTAATGTTTGTGTAGGATTAAGTTTTAGAGGGACGCATAATTTTGATCCTCAAGTCCAAACAATATACTTTCATAAAAAGAAGAGCTTGAATAGTTTACCAATGAATTCCATTAAATTTTTGCAATATCTAAATTTCACTTGTGTGTTGAGGATGAGATGGATTCCATACCTTTTTATAGCCCCATAACCATGATTACCCACAACCAATATGGAAGCATGGTGTTTCTCCACAGCCTCACAGAGAACATTCCTAGCATCACCTTCCATAACTTCCAATACCACACCAGTCACCTGTACAGAAAAGTAAAAATCAGAAAGAATGCCGGGCAATGCAAATTCACAGAAGTGCTGACACTTCAGAGTTGACAGCTTGGATTGAATTTGCAAATTGAGGCAACACAATTTTCAACAGAAATATTACCGAAAGAAAATTGGGTAAGATTCAACTGAATGGCAAGATTAAAGGGTCAGAAACCCTATATATATTCTTTTGAACAGCAATCAGTTGCATTGTTCAGGTTGGAAAACTGCTACGAACATGTGTGCATTATGATAGGCTCTAGGCTCATCAATCCATGTTTGCATTTTGATTCCACTCATGCAATTAATAGTGAAAAAATAATATGCCAAAATTAAACAGAAAGACGAAATACAAGGATTTACACGGTTCACCTACGAAGATGAATACTAACTTCATTCTAATATGGAGATTACAATTATATGAGATTAAAAACCCCACTAAATATCTATTCAATCCCAAAACTCAAAAACAAAAAAAAAAAAAATCTCACAAATCAAAACTGTTTAGAATGGAAACGGTATGGTATCTACGCAAAACATCATCAAGAACACATAAGATCCATAATTCTCAGATAATTAACCATGTAATTCTCTCCATCCACAACGTCTCCCAATGAAGGGAAGGCCCCTCACTCTTGGGCAAAATCAAATTCCTACCACTAACCCCATTTGTTAGAGCTATGTACCAAATTCCTTGTCTACCAATAATACTCCATAAAAAGGGAACTCACTAAGTTATGAATTTGAGACAATTCCAAATAATGCATGTATACATATACTTCCAAAATGGCTAAAAGCCAGTTTTAGACCTTGAACAAATGCTGCACCTTATTTACCAAAAGAACTTTATGTTTCAAAAACATTGAATCGCAGAAGTGTCCAGGCCCAATTCTTGGTTTAAACTAGTTTCCTCTCTAAATTAACTTAGGTTGTGTTTGGATATGTGGATTTTGATTTGTCTATGGGTTTTAATTCCTTTGTTTGGATCAAGATAATGATAAGGATTTGGAAATAAAAAGGCATTGGCAGTTTATAACTTCCTAACAGTGGAAGAGAAAAAAGAAGGTAAAAAATGAAGGAAACACTGCCAAATCAGGGCTCTCTAATTTATCACCTCATTCAAGAATCATGAAAAGTTAAGATTTGGACAAATTTGAGAGAATTTCTCAAATATACATGTGCATACATAAGTATATTAATACATTGAACACCTACTCAATTGTCTCTTACTCGTCCTGAGTTCACATAAGATGAAACAAATAAACCAACCATAACACAAAAGTTTGCAAATAAAGGGGAAAACTGAAATGCCGAAGAATTCCGAACTCGAATTGTTAATTTACCAATCAAACTTCCTCAAAGGAATACTAAAATACAAGTCTACATCAAAAAATGAGAATCAAACAAGAACACCCATGAAAGAATAATGCAAGCTCCACTCACATATATATTTGATGAGACAATTTTAGGAGGAAATTATGAAAAAGAGAATCAAGCAGATAAAGACCAAACAAAAAATCAAATTTCTAAGAAAGTGATGAAAGAATGAAATCCATGTACTGATTTGGCTGGACTATCAGCCGAGGGGGGCGCAAGGATTTCAAGATCAGATTTCAAATCTACTTCATTTGAAACCCTTGAATTAAAAAACAGAGCCTTAAACTATTTAACAAAGATTAAAGAATTTACTCACTTAATCATCAATTCATACAGATTCTACAAAATTCTAATCAAATTCAGAATAAAATAAAATAAAAAATGCACAAAACAACAAAATTTATAAGAGCAACAAAATCACATGTTCGAAATTTTAAAATTTTTCAATGATTGAGACCTAAGGAATCCAATTCTTCAAGGAATCGCAAAAAATAACTTAATCAAAAGCTATGAGAGAGAGAGAGAGAGAGAGAGAGAGAGAGAGAATAGACAATACCGACTTACTGAGACAGATCTCCTTAGCTTTTTCTATAACCCTGGCAGCAATCTTCTTCAGATCAGCTTCGACGTAGGGCAAAACCTCAGCAGCCCCTGCAATTCAGAAGGAAAAAAAATGTTATCAAAACAAGCAATTCACTACATGAATCTGTATATAGAGAGGATTGAATGGAGATAATACCAGGACCAGCGAATCCGATAGCAGAAGTAGGAGAAGGTTTAGCGTGAACGATGAAGAGGTTGAAGAGAAAGTTTGGAGCGTTAGGAGTGAAGAAGTGATCGAGAATCCATTCGAGTGCGTAGATGCTCCGTTCACTGTCGTCGATTCCCACCACCATAACCGGTTTCTCTACTGGTGGTGGTGTTGCCATTTTCGACGGTGAGTGTAGAAATTTCGGTGGACAATAAGAGAGAAGAATACAGACAGGCAGAGTGTAACGACGGCGATAGAGATAACATAAAAATAATGTGTATGCGATTGCCGTAACGTGATCATCTCGGTGGAAACCATAGTGGCTCAATCGGAATATTATTGGTTGAAACCATAGCGGTCACTGTTTATTTACGATCGTATTATATGTGTTAATTAATGTATTAATTATTTATTTACGATCGTATTATATGTATTAATTAATATATTAATTAGTGTATCAATATGTTAGGATTAGGATCTTCAATAGCCATCTATGAAGACATATTTTGTGAATGACAACACGTGGTCAATGTGGTACCAGAGTATCAGTCGAGGTGTCACGTGTATTGGTCATATTGCCGAGGTGATATTAGATAAGCCGAGGTTATGTGCGGAGGTACCAGAATTGAAATGAGTGGATAAGGGACGAGAGTTCTAGAATAGGAAAGGACCTTAGTCTAGATAAAGATAAAACTCTTAGGGAGTTTATCCTTATCTAGTTGAAAGTCCCAAATAAGTATTGAGTCAAAGTCTATTGAAGCTAGGCTTCTATAGGGATCAGGTTAGTGCTGGCTATAAAGTTAGGCACCCCCGTAGGTTTAAGGTACGTTTTTTGTATTTTGACTTGTGAGTTAAGCACTATTTGCTATCTTTAAGAGATATATTGACTACTGACTTGATCGTCGGAGTCCCTCGGGTGGATGAACCACCGCCGGAGTCTTATCTTTCCGTGACAGGTTGTTCGGGTGTAATTTATTCTGTCCGTACTCTCCAACTGAGTTCTTATTTGACAGTGTGGTCGGAAATCAGTACCCACAATTTGGCGCTATCTGTGGAAAACGTAAGAAGAATAGATAGCCAACGACAGACAAAAAGAAAAGATTGGAGGTGACATCCCTAGTGGGAGTGGTAAAAACGCCGATCCTAACGTTGAAGAGGACAACTGTAGTGAAGAACCTCGAGATAAGAATCCCGATGAAAAAGATATCGGCCAAGAGAGGGACGCACAGAAGAAAGCATGCCAGGGCAGGTAATACAACGAAAGCGACCTCTAGATATGGAAAGATAGATGTTTGAGGAGGGACGACGAGATGAAGGGGATGACAAACAAATTGACAGACCTGTAATTGATTGTCAATTTCATGATGCAGAACAACGTCATGTAGCCATCGTTTCCGTTGGAGGACACGCCGACTCCAGTGGCCAAGAACGATGCCCAAAAAGGGAGGCAGAAAGCAATCCCTGCAGTCCCTCAGCATGACAGGCCAAAGAAGCATTCTCATCGGCCTTCACGGGAGGTTGAACGTGGAGAATCGACGAGAGGAGAGTCTTGGAAGACGCATCAAGCCAAAGAAACCTACGTCAAAGAACATCAGCATGTTCAAGGGAAGGAGCTTTGTTTTGACATAATGAATGAAGAGAGGTCTAAGAGGACTCATAACGACATCGGGAGCAGCGCACCAAGAAGGCTAAAATCCGGTGACAGCCGAGCTCTTAGACGAACTAAGGAGGATTTGATGGATTACCTCCAGAGGAAGTGACAAGATGCTGAGGTAACATCTCCAGTCAAGCCGAGAGCGCCATTCTCAGTAGAATTAGACAAGTTTGAGGCCCCGTAAAGGTTTCACATGCCTAGATTCTAGATATACAATGGTACGTCCAATCTCAACTTTCATGTCGGATTATATTTGAACTCAATGGCACTGTATACCAGGAACGAGCCGTTGCTCTACAAGGTGTTCCCCTTATCCTTTGAGGAAATCGCATCAGATTGGTATCACAAGTTGCTAAAAGGAACTGTGAGAAGTTGGGAAAGCCTGGTTGAGATGTTTGTGGCCAGGTTTATTACAAACAAACTGCAGCCGTTGAAGGTAGACTCCCTGATGGCTTTGAGAATTGGCAAGAATGAAAGCCTTAGGGCTTATGCCAAAAGGTATTATGAGGTGTTTAACCGAATACCAGGGTGCAACCAAGAGGTGGCGGTCATATCTTTTAAGAACAACCTGAACGATGACTGTCTGCTTCGAAAATCACTGGCAAAGACACTGCCAAAAAGTATGGAGGAACTTATGGCTAGAATCGAGAAATATGCGAGATTAGAGGAAGACACGCCAGGGACAAAGACGTCAAAGCAAGAGAAGAAAAACAGCTCGCCGAAGCGAGGCCGAGGGAATACAAATTTTAACAGACAAGAAACATGACTTAGGGCTACACAGGCAGTCACCACAATGTTCCGTATCCCGGTTTACAAAGTCCTAGAAAGGATCAAGGATCAGCCTTACTATAGAGCACCATAGAAGATCCTTGGCGAATTTATGGGAAGAAGCCTAGAGAAGCACTGTGCCTACCACAATGAGGATGGGCACCTGACTCAGGGATGCAGAGCCCTAAAGACACATCTGGAAGACCTGGTAAGACAAGGTTATTTAAGGGACCTGGTAGATGAGGCCAGAATAAGGGAAAAGCAAGCAAGGTAGCCCCAGGCACCGGTAACCCCACCTCCACCAGCACCATAACCGCAAGCAGACGAACTTTGAGTGGTCAATGTGATTCACTCGAAGGTCAATGAGAACGAGGTACATGGGGAGACTCAGAGGGTGAAACACTTATAGCATGTGTATCAGGTCTAGCAAAAGAGACCTAAGGCAGACGAGTACCAGGGACCAATAGTGTCCTTGTAGACGTCCCCGAACGTCCTAGGAGGGAATCCCGTTTTATTCATTGGGGCTTACTACAGTTTGGACTCAATGTCACGGTCCTGTATCTAATCTCGCAGAGTGCAATGTAAGACCGATGAATCATCAAAGAGTCCAAATCCGGCAAATTGTTTTGAAAAACTAATTTTTAGAAAGAAGTGCCAAACATGGACTGCTTTACCAGATATAGAGTCGCCACCTAAATATTTTATTTTGGAGAATTTAGGAAACCTTGACTCGTGCCTAAGGCCACGTGTCCGTCATCACCAAAGTTGCCTCGGCTCGGGAACTTGGGTACGATTGGGGAAGGTCACTTCGTGAGCACCCCCGCTCGCCCGATCAAAGATCGGCCTCTACTAACCATGATATCGAGCTTTGAAATATTATGTGCTCTTATTCCGGTTATTAGTCTAGAATTACTATGTGATGCACACAACATACAAGTAATAGACTGGATCGTTTGAGTTGGAACAAATATTTCATGTTTGTTTATTGTGAAAGATGGTTTATGGTGCTATCGCAAGTAGGCTAAGACATGGATTTGCCACCCTCAAGTGGGCTTAAGAAAACATGATTTTGCCACTCTCAAGTGGGCTTAAAAACTCTCAATTGGGAATTGTTCCAATTCAAATAACCTAACCTTCACCATAGGCATTCAGGCAGTTTATCACATAAGCAAATAGCCTCATGGTAACATGCTATCATGGCAGTCAACTCATATGCATGCAAGGATGCTAAAGTATAAATATTTACCGAGTACTCCAAGCCAAGAAAGAAGCTAATTAGAAATCATGCATGAATCTTAACTATGCTGGAAATGTTAATGCAACACATGCAAAAATGCAACTAAGATAGGCTCAGCATTCTAAAATGGCATATGAAATGCAACAACTGATACGCGTATTAAACTTGGAATTGAAATACATGCAGTTAGTATGATGCGCTGAGCCCGATGCATGCAAGACAAGATAAATGGATGCAACATGCTTGCATAAGTATGCTAATTGAAACGTGCCCTAAACTAACCATCATAAGTTGGTAAAATAAAGGGAGAAAGACGTGGAGTTGGAAGACATGCAATACACACACACACGCACACTTATTACAACATGCCCTCCTTGGAGGGTCCGAATGAATAGTACAGAAAAACTAGCTAATCTAGCTAATTAAATTAATTATTACACAGACATTAATTAATTAACGAATTAACTAAGTAAGGAAACTAGCATGCAAATTAAAACAAAATGACTGCCTCAGCTCTGTTCCGAATGATAGGGATGCATGCATGCTCAAGTCGCCTTGTTCGGGAAATCCATCGCGATGCCCCGATTTGTTTCTATTTGCAACTGGTCCCAAAACACTGTACAAAGCTCCAGAAGGCTGCTGACCAGTTTTTGCTGCTGGTTTCCGGTTTGCTGCCAACAGAGAGTGAGAAAGGGGCATGGCAAAGTATTTTCAACATATGTGTGCATGACCACTCTCCACATCATGTATACAAGCTCCAGGGAGTGTAGTCTTCGATCCTCGTGCTACCAATCACGCATCTCGATGCATGATGGCCGAGGAGTCGGATTGCACGACTCGATGTAAAATGAATGCCACATATAAACACAACAAGGCCTAAACTCCATCATAGGTAATCCGAGTGTCGGCGATCGAGAATCGAGGCACGTTTCGTCACTTGAGTACGAAACGTCCTCGTTTCCCGTGTTTGGACTAAACCCTATCCAAACACAATGCAATATACATGGCATACACAATACGACTAGCATGCAACCTTAAAACCAATGCAAACCTAATCATGCTAGCATGCGAGGGATGAATTATGCAAACATGCAACTAGCATACACAATGCTTGAACTAAGAATGGCAATGCACATGAACTATATGGCATACACAATGCACATACGAAGATGGACATGCACGAAGACATGAACAAGCATACACAATGCGACGATCAAGCATGTGACAACATGGATATGCATACATATGCAAGATGGACTTAAACTAAAATGAATGGTCTTCAGCCACACTCAAATCAGTGGCCATACATGATGAAAATGAAGCAACAAACACAATGCAAACATGCACAAATGCAAGGGGCCAAGCCTAAGGCACAAAGTGCAAACTCCACCAAAGCATGGTAAGCGTGAAATATGGCATACAATCACAAATATTTTCCAGCTCTGAAATGACATGCAAGATGGTCCCGAATCATGCAAACACCTCACACAATGCATGCTAGATGGTCCAAATACCGAAACTAGTGAAGTGGATTACACTATAGGCAGGCAAAACAATACTCAAATGGCCAAACCAGCCCCAAATAGTCCCTATGCAGGCCAAAACAGTAGCAAATATGGACTAAAATGATGGCTCGCAAAACATGGAAATGAAGCTCATGC